TTGACATAAAATAATGATGAAATTATGAATACAAAAATGCATATCAAAGGGTTACTACTTACTCTCATGTTATCTTGAAATTGTGAAGATAATTCCTTTGAGTAACAATCAGAAAGTTTAAAATACAACACGAAACTTATTCCTTCTCCATCAATTTCACCTCCAAAAAGAGCAGCAGGATACAATGGAATCTGCAAAGCCATTGTAGAAACAAAATGATTAATATATATTTTGTCAAAAATTAAAATATTTTAATTACGAATGATATATCCATGAGTAAATTACACGAATAGTCCCTATGGTTTAAGGTAATTTGCGTGTTTGGTCCCTAACTTACTTTTTTAACTCGGAAGGTCCCTACTGTTTGTTTTTGTTATGCGTTTGGTCCCTGTCTTACCTAAAAAGACTGTTTTGCCCTTCATTTTTTGATTTATTTAAATAAACACAAACCCAATCACACTCCCTCACCTTACCTTACATACCTCATCATTTTTTTCTATTTAAATAATAGTATTTTTAGGTAAGATAGGGACCAAATATGTAATAAAAACAAACAGTAGGGACCAAACACATAACAAAAGCAAACAGTAGGGACATTCCGAATTAAAAAAATTAGTTAGGGACAAAGCACATAAATTACCCCAAACCATAGGGACCATTCTTGTAATTTACTCTATATCCATCAAAATACCTGAACATTTACAACAAGAATAGATGGAAAATCTCGAGTAGAAGAAGCAACATCAGGGAGTTTTACAAACTGAGCAATGTGATTAATTTTCCTCTGAGATAAAAACACATCAACTCCAAATGGGTAATAAGCAGCGTAATTAGAAGCAAATTCCTTCTTTCTATCCCTGTAAAATGATATAACATAACAAAAAATTGACAAAGTGTCTTCTCAGAATTGACCAAATGTTTAAATATATATAAACTTATAAAAGATTACCTGAGATAGTCCTTGCCACGTATTCTAAAAGTTTGGGGTTCAATAAATGACCATGAATCAATCATTTTCTTGTCTATTGGACAGAAGGGTACTTGTGAACCAGCTATAGGTCGTTGTATTATATGATGCATCTTTGAAGGAACTGGATGCAGAAAAAAGAACTATGTTAAATTTCAGTGTTTGAAATATGGAAGCTTATCAAATGAGGCTCAAAGGAAATCTAACATAAACCAGTTGAAATCAAGTGAAATGGTAAAAGAACTGACTGATTGTGGGATTAGTATGTTCATCATTTCGTTTGAAGGATAACTTAAATGCAGGTTTTTTCTTTGGGATACCATTCTCCATTCCAGCATTTTCATCTATACTTGATTGAAATGCCATCTGTTCAGGATGCACTGAACTTCTATGAGCTTCACTATCTCTCAGAGAACCAATATGTGGCCATGAGACAGCTTCTGAGCCATCTGGAAACAGAGAATGTATGAACATTTGGATTCAGGATTCGAGAGATGAAGAAAAAGAAAAGCGAGTAAATGTATGTCTGTTAGAAATTTTTTGCTAAAAATCACCATCGGAAAAACTCTGGAAATCTTCATCGCTGCAATCAGATTCAAGAATTGAAGCAGAATCACACCAGAGATCATCAGTGCTCCCTGCAAAATGTACAAGGTACGTAAGAGAAAATTTCATTAGTTTTAATGGATGTTTTAAGATTTGTAACGAACTACTTGAAATTGCAATGAAAAAAGCAACAACAGACTCACGAAGTGATTCAGAATGAATCGATATCAAAAAAACTGACTGAAATTTTCAGTTTGTAAGCAGTAGATTCGTTCAAACTTATAGCTTAGAAGAAATAATATTCGATATGAAAAATTGCAACCCGTTGATAAATTTGACCTCCTTTTCTTAGATTTTCTGGATCTGAGAATTCCGTCAAAAAAAAAAGCTGTTGGAGAACCATGGAAATACAAGTTAACTCATAGATTAATTAAATACGTAATCATGTTCCTCAATTTACTCCTTGAAGATCATGTACGAGTAATTACTGGTGTAGTTTAATTCAATATAGTTTGATTCATAAACAATCCTCGAAACTTCCAATTAGCTTAGTTCAATTACGATGCATTAGGAACTCTATAGAACACAACACATAAATTTTAATGTAGTTTTAGAGAGAAAGAGAAGAAACCGTGGGAATTTGGAGGGTCGCCGGAGGGAGGTGCCTTGGATTGATCATACAAACGAGACGATACACGGCGTTTCAGAGCTTTCCTCCGCCGTCTCAGCTTCAGCTTCACCTTCACCTTCGACGACTTTATTCCACCTCCGACGCAATTCTCCGGCCTAGACACGCAACCTCCCATCCCCTTCGCTCTCTCGCGGGAAAATATCAAGGTATTTCGTTTAAAGAAAATGGATAATGTTATTTGATCGATAACTTAATGAGGAAAAAAAAAAAATTAATTGTCCCACATTTTTTAGAAGAAAACAAGTAAGAAAGCATGTGGATCAACTTTAAAGTCACTGATTTAAAAGATCGTCAATGAGTAAAAAATAAATAAGAATAATAACTTGAAACAAAATTTGTGACATTTATCAAGGACAAATCAAAATTAGATGTTGTAGTTTGTTTAGGCAAAAAAGCTACATCGTAAAACTAAACGTGATTTATTTGACAATTACACAAAACCAATCAAACTTAATAAATACCATTTATAGTTACAATTTATTTTTCGTTTAATGTAACAAACAATATATAAAATAATTGCACTTTAAAATAACGAACTCATATTTTTCTGGTCAATACATGCGTGCCCATTAAAATTACTTTGACCGTTCACCAGAAAAAACATATTCTATTAATCAAAACCACATAAATTTTTTTATGAAAAAAAAAATATTCCTTAAATGCCACGTGGCACATAGTAACGCGTGATCATTGTAGGGTCGTTTAGTGGAATAGTGGTTGTGTAAATTGGGCCGGCCATTGTTTTCACTTCTCAGCCGTAGGAGTATAGAACCACCCGATTCCAAGTGGGGTCAATACAAGAAGTTAGACAAACCAATTTATACCATGGTTTATTATTTATAAAAATAAGATGCCATAAAATTCAATAAAAATATCATGATACACTTGTTACTAAACGATTTATGGGTTGGATTGAAACCACCAAATCCTCTCATCTTTTGTCTTATATATATCGTTAATATATAAATAATAAAGGGCAAATTTCCAAAAAATTCTTATATTTCAGTTTTTTCGGTCATTACAGCTGACTTGTTCTTTATGTGATTACCTTTGAAGTCGTGAGCTAATTAGTTAAAACTCTAAATTATACACATTTAAATTATGTGTAACCTTTTTTTATACCAAGGATTCCTCTATGGAAAATAATTTAAATCATGAGAAAGTTAGTTACTTGGATTTAAAAAAATGAATATGGTTTTTAGATAATGGATTTTGTTGGAACAAAAATTTATGAGCATGTAACATGAGTTGATAATTTCAAAACGAATATCTTTACCTAATTTGACATATTATAATTTAGATGACCTACCTACAACTCAATTTGTTTAATGTTTTATTAAAATGTACTCATCGATATATTGTTAAAAAAATGTATTTTTTCATAATCAATTCAATTCTCATTAATAAAAGATAAAACTTCAAAAACGTTTCCTGTGGTTTTTGAAAATATCAAGTTTAGTTCCTAAGTTCAAAAAATCTCACGGATCGTCCCTGTGGTTTCAAAACTTTTAACATTTGGTCCTTCCGGTTCACTCTGTTAAATTTTGACCGTTAATAAAAGGCATTTCTATCTTTTCACTACCACATGGACTATTTATGAAGTTTTGCCTTATTTATAAAAAAAATATATGCTTTATTTATTTATATATATATATATATATATATATATATATATATAATATATATATATATATATATATATATATATATATATATAATATTAAAGGTCTCTCTCTCTCTCTCTCTCTCTCTCAAACACACACATACACCCAACTTTATCTTTCTCCCTCGCCTCTTAAAACATTGAATCCACCTCTCCATTGCAAACGAAAGTTGCCATTTGCTCCTACCACCACCACCATCGGATGCTACTGGCCAAGGTAAATGATTTTCTAACCCTACCCCGATCAAAGCCAACAGATCCACTGATATCCTTCCTGTCAGCAACCCCAAATCAAATTTGAGGAAAAGAACCCTTACACCTCCATTTTTTCCAACAACACCACAACTACCACTGATTATCACCTCCCATCCATTTCCTCCCTATTTAGCCTCTCTCGTATTCTCAATCTCATCACTAACCACATACAATTTTTCCAATCCTAAATCCTCGGATGCGGAGATTGAACCGATATGGATGGGGAACTCACCGGCTCTGCAACAGGTAAAACAACGGAGTTGAACCTGAGATAAGGCATGGACGATAACAGACATTCCGACTAAACAGAATATTCACTTGTAATTCCTAAATATCCCATCGCCAATCAAAGCAAGAATTGCAAATTCATAAACATAAATTGGACATAACAACTCGAAAATTAATCGTAAGATGAAGACTAACTGGGGTGAAATTATAAGAAGGTATTGATGCTATGTTTAGTAACCCACGATCGTCTTTGATAATCTGCCAATTATTCCATGATCGAATTTACCTGATACCAAATTAAAGGATGATACCTTCAGTCGGAGTAGAGATCTGGTTTGCCCGGAGAAGGATCGATTGAGCGGTGATCTATGTCTTGAGGTACTAAGCAGTGGTCAATGGGTCAATGGGTGGTAACTAATACTTATGACAACCGAACGAACCAAAGGAGGTGTTGTGGCGATTTCTTTGATCAATTATGGCAGGTAGTGTTGGTGATTCAAAAAAGGGTGAAGCGTATATACCCTTCTCGCAGAGAGAGAGAGAGAGAGAGAGAGAGAGAGAGAGAGAGAGAGAGAGAGAGAGAGAGAGAGCTTTAATATTAAATATATATATTTTTATAAACAAAGCAAAACTTCATAAATAGTCCCTGTGGTAGTGAAAAGATAGAAATGCCCTTTACTTAACAGCCAAAATTTAACAGAGTGAGCCGGAAGGATTAAATGTTAAAAGTTTTGAAACCACATGGACGATCCGCAAGGTTTTTTAAACTTAAGGATTAAACTTGATATTCGAAAACCACAGTGACCATTTTTGAAGTTTTGTCTTAATAAAATGTATACGTACAAATATTCAATAACTACAAGATTGTGGGCCGGAGATCTATACAATATGGGCCTATTCTTAATACACAGTTACATACACACAATACAAGAATAATACGTGATCTAATCTTTGAATCTACTTTTTTTTTTGTCAACCTTTTTTGCAAAAAATAGTAATAATAATAAGAAATAAGAAATACAAGTGTTATCGTTTTATAGGTCACGTTGTCAACTAAATCACAAATAAAGAAAAAAAGAAAATTAAAAAAAAAAATAAAAAGAGAAAAAATCAAACCTTTCAACCAGCCTTGGGTTGCCAATATCAGTCTTTTGTCGCATGTCATTTCCCAATTGATTGGTTGATTTATTCTCATTTTTGAACAAAATTTATGTAATTATAAATTAGATTTTTTTTTTTTTTTTTTTTTTTTTTTATTTTATATAAATACATAAAGAAATAGCAAAAAAAAAATGTGACCAAATGTAACAAATTATAAAGCGACCAAATGTAACAAATTATAAACTTAGTAGATAAAATGTAAAAGAAAGGGACCAAATGCAACAAATTATAAAGTAGACATTTAACATATATCAATACAACCCACTATTTTAGATATATATACTAATCTTAATATATCATTCACATCACTAGACATTAAAAAAAATGAATATTACCTTTTATAGAAATCCAATTATCAACAAATTCCTTCTTGTGTAGTTGAGCATTCTGAATCTAACTGTTGTAATAACATACTATTAAAATTAGAGTTTTAAAAATATATTCTTTGAGAATATACCCAATCATAGCAATGTAATCCAAAATGTGAAACAATTTTAACTTCTATAATTGGATACATTTTTTCACAAATAAAAACCACAACGCTATATTTTTTTAATCGTTTTAAAATACAATGATTAATAAAAAAAATAATTCAAAGTAGGATGCTGGAAATTGTAACACACAAATAAATTAAAGTACATTGCTATTTCTTGCCTCTGACACAGTTGCTCTAGAATCTATGTGATGAGAAGTTGCTACATTTGTTTCTTTATCCTGCAATGAAACGGACAAATTTTATAAATTGTTGATAAATTTATAATTTTTTTTTAAATTGAATATTAAGTGATTATAAGCATGAGTTTCTCTTACTTCTTCATCCATACGTGCGATTGTATCTTGAATTTTCCTAACAGTAACTACTAACATCCCTACTTCAGAATGCAAGGCCTGATACATCATAAAAATAAAAAAAATAAAAACATAAATTTTGAGAAAATTATTGTGTGAAATAGAGATTATACTCAAAATAAAAACCTTGTTTTCTGATATTAATGTCTCTATGATTCCTTCCTTCATCTGTATAGTTTCTTGAAGGTGATGTTTGTTAAGCGATTGCAATGTCTAGACATTAATCAATAATTAGTTTTTTTTTTTTTTTTTTTTTTTAATGTTAAATCAAATAATAAAATAAAGATGGATATTTCCTCTATCTTTGGTTGGAATTGAAGAGTTATTTTTATTGTCTCCAGCTGTGTCTGGAGCTCTGCAATCACTCTATCCTTTTTGTGAAACTCACTTTCTTTAATTTTTAGTTTAGTTTCAAGATCCTTGATTTTTTCTGCAAATATTTAGAATAAAAAAAGGTCCATGAATAGTAGATGTGAAATGGAAAATAGTAAACAGAATGAAAGAATAACTTATATAACATTACCAATGAATAACTTCTCAAATGCACATACTTTGTCCAATTTCATCTTCAACTGAGACACTGAGAGAAACTATCAGTGATTCAAATTTCAAAATGTATTTTTAATTATTTGATTTGTGTGTTTGATAATAAGACATACCTACTTCCTCTTTCTCATTGACAACATGAGTTGCATTATCCACTACTTGCTTCACAACTAATGCTTCCTTGTGTATTGTGTGAAATGATATGAGGTGAGCATTTATCTTCTCAGAAAGAATGCTAATCTTTCTATCTCTGGATTCAATGGATCTTTTCATTTCACAAGTGGATTCCTGCAAATGTTATGGTGATTAATGGTTAATAACAAAGGATTTAACAGTTACAAACCTGGTAAGCTTTAACAAAGTCTTCTTTTTCTTGGAGTATGCTGCTTATAGTTTCCTTCAGTTCTTTATGCTTGTTTTCAAGTAAATAATTCTCATCTTCAAGGAACTGGACCTATCAGACCACAAACCCTAAATTTAATTTGTTTGCTTCATTGAAGATTCATGAACAATCAATTATATCATACCTTACGTTCTAGCTTCTGTTGCAGTTCGTTAGATGATGTTAACTCGGTTTCCAATTCCTTAATCTTTATACTGAATTCTTCATCACTTTGCTTCTGTTTCTAAATTCGAAATATCAATAACTTAGGTTAATCAATTTCTACAATATTCGATTTTGACAATTTCTACAATATTCGATTTTGACATCGGATGCGAACAATTAGGTTAATCGTGTTACATGTTCACGAACGACATTCGATGTTCAACAATTACTAGAAGTTGAACAGAATTGGTTTCAAATTAATATTCGATTTATAAGAACCTGGACATAATCGTGAAGTTGATTGGAAGAAGCGCGTTCCTTTTCCTGAAAATTTGATATAAAGTTCACCAAGGTTGTTCTGATGATTAATCGATGCAATGACATGCGAGGATGGAGAGTGATTGAGATTTTACTCTGAGTTCACGAACTTCTGTGATTAGGGTTTGGAGCTGGAGCTTGAATTTTGATAGCTTGATCAGTTCCATTTTGCCGCCAAAATTCTCGTGAAATTTGTCGCGTTTCTGTTTAGGTTCAGACTATAGAGATTAATAGATATGAGTTATTATCATATTTGAGACATTCTTTCTATTCTCTCTAATTTTCGTTATACAAGATTCTGAATTTTTTGAGTTCACTATAATGAACGTGAACTTGGTTCATTCAAAATTGTGAATTCTTTTGTGTTTTTGTGTATTTATTTTTATTTTTTTTTGAGTTCCCCAACAAAATGTTTAAAATTCATCTTGTTCCAACGAAAACGCGATATACATCTACAATCAATTATAATTGATAAACTCAAACTCAAAATCAGATATAAGAAACAGACAACATTGAAGCAATCAGAAAACAACATCAGTACAAAATTCAAAATCAGAATCCTCATTTCTCTAACCTTAGCAAAATTCTACATCAAAATTCAAACTCAGAATCCTCTGCTTGAGTTAACCAGCACCTTGGTATATTCAAATTCAGAAATCTATAAGAATGTTGAATGAAAATTTCGACAGTGCCTCACAAATACAGACACGAAAGTTCAAAATTGGAACTTAAAAAAGTGAGAACCTGACAGAATGAAGATGAAATTTCAAGAATATGTAATCAATAAACCGAAACAAAGCATAAATCGAAGTTGAATGTACAGATATCGAAGCTATGAGATGGAGTCAAAAAATCGTACCTGAGATAAAATCGCCTGCTGCTGTGGCCGGAAGTGGAGTCGCCGGTGTCTAGTGTAGACGGAGGTTGAGTGGCCTGCGGGAGCTGCGGCCGGTTATAGTGGTGCAGCCAGGTGAGACGATCGATTTCTTACCGTTGTACCGTTGTGGCTTGCAGCTTCTACGATCAGTAAAAAAGAGATGCAGGACACAATCAGTTTTTTTATTTTTTATTATTTATTTATTTATTTATTACTAAATGGTAGAATCATCCTATTTAGTAAATACTTTTTTTATTATTAAACGGTAAAATCATCCTATTTAATAAATATTTTTAAAACTATAACTTTTATATTAAAAACTTAAAAATAAGGATAATTTGTTAAGTTTTTCAATTTTTTTTAATAAAAGTGACTTTTCTAAATAATAAAGTTGTAAAAAACGTTCAACGTTACCCAGTCAGTAAACTGGTGTTAAGGGATTAATCGGTTAATCTGGAATTAATCAGGGACCATTAATTCTTAATTTGTTGAATTTTTTAAAAATTAAATATGACTAATACAATATCAAAGTTCATAAATAATATTAATATCATAACAAAATAGATTAATATGATTAGTACAATACTAATCACACCTCAAATAGTTTCTATTGAGATGAAACTTATTCAAAATATATGAATTCTATTGTTTTATAAGGTTTCATTTATTATCTATGCAGGATTAATCATTAGATGTCATCTAGTCGATCAAGTACCCGCTAGGAATAAATCGAAGATTAATCAGGACACACTCAAAAATTTTACAACAATTTTAAATACATAGGTACTTATGTTGTGCCATAAATTGTAACATAAAAATATTAAGGACTTTTTGTTAAATTTTCAAAAACTAAAAGTTTCTAACAGTATGTTAGATCTATCCTATAAAGGTAGTCCAACACAAGCAATGGATACCACACCTTCGACCTTTGAGAAGTTACTTTGTGAAATAGAATTTCTCCCTTGTACAATTTCTTCATTTTAGATAGCTAGAAATACGCATGTCCTAAGAATGAGTCAGGTAGGACCTTTCAGTCAAGTGTCTTGCCTTCGGTGCCTGTGGTTTTAGCCTTTAAAATTAAAATATGTTAGTTATTTAATTAATTATTTTAAATGATAGTTTTTGCTATATATATATATATATATATATATATATATATATATATATATATATATATATAAAAGTTAGATTCAAATGGTTTTGTGACAACCCGAAATTTATTCCGTTATTTTAACCCGCCTCCGTTAATAAAATTTAATTTTTATTTAATTTTCCGTCAACTTCTTGGGTCTAATTAAATATTTTAAACTCAATACAATCGAGGTTGGGGTCTAAGAACGAACTTTTCCAAGTCAAAACATAGAATCCGGACCAAACACCCCTTCGAGAAGAGTGTACGGCCGCAAACTCGGGTTTACGGCCGTACATCCCCCCACCCCATCCCTTGGTCGTAAACTCACCCCTATATAAGGGATGAGTGGCCTTCATTTCATCCTTCACACAATCTAAGATCTTTCTCTCTCTACTCTCTCTCTCTCTTTCTCTCTCTACAATTTTGAAATTTCTCAAGAATCCTCAAAGATGTAAGTGATTCTTCACTTTGATTGTGTTTATATCTCATTTATAGTGCTAAATCCATGTTTCATCCCATTTAATTTCATCATTTTCTAGATTTTATCTCTCACCAAGAACACACACTAGTTCTTGGTGGCTAAAAACTTCATTTCAAGCCTCTTACAATAAGTAACTACAATCTATGCTTGATATCTAATAGAAATCATTGGTTCTTCACCTAAAAATCGACCCAAATCATGAACAGAAAATGGGTTTACGATCGTAAACCCATGTGTACGACCGTACACCCTATAATGGTCGTAAACTCTATTTTTGGTCGATTAATGGCCTTTAAACCCTACTTTGAGCTGTGCACAAGGCTTAGAAAAATTCCAAGAGACTAGAAAGGACCTTTAAACATCGAAAACCGCACCTCTCACCGAGTGTTTACGGCCGTAAACTCATGGGCCGTAAATCCATGGGCTGCAAACACTTTGGCCGTAAACCTATGGACCGTAAACCCTGTTGGCCGCAAACCCATTACCGTACACTCCTGATTACGGCCGCAAACTCCCCATCTTCAATCCCATGTGATTCTAACACTTAGTTTCAAGTGTTTCCTAGTCCATAAGGTGGTTTCCTTCTATAACAAATAGTGTTATGACCTCATCTAATATATATATATATATATATATATATATATATATATATATATATATATATATGCGCTTTATATGCTAAATAGGATACATTTGTGTCTGAGGCATTGTCTGACACCCAACAACTTTTATTGATATACACTCGAATCCTACGTTAAACAATGAATTCATATCCATATGCTTTTAAAAGTTTTTATAATGTTTTCAGGGGGCATACAAGCCAAACACAAATGTTTTCTTAAATTAAAACTGATGCAATTTCAACAGTTTTACATCAAACATCTAGATACTTTATCCCTTTTGTAATATGCGGAGCATAAGGGACACTTTCTAAACATCATTGCATAGTTTTCAGAACAATTCATGAAAATAACATACCAGTCAAACTATAGTAGGTACAGTTTGGGGAATTCTTTACTGGTTTTACAAATTAAAACACATAAACTATTACATATTTAGTTTATCCATTTTTATCTACAGATAACAAGAGTATCTTACTAAATAATTATTTGGTGTATAATTATTTATACTCTACACCGTTTACCAACATGATTGTGAGACCTATCTTCGTTATTCCCTTCGGGGTACAAGTAAATCCTCACCTTTAGTATAACTAGAGTCTCCTGGAGGGAGAGCGTGAAATTTATGAATAGATCTATTCGTGATTGACAATCCCACACCTGAATTGTTAGCTACAGTTAGGCGGGCACACCTGGGGTGACAAATTTTGTAATCATACGATGCCTGAAGAAACGTCAAGGAGGTTATCAGTCATATTTAGCATGCTTATACGAACTCACAATAGTATCAACTAACCTTTGTTTACGAGATTTCTTTCTTCAATAGTTTTATTTTAAATTAATAAAAGTACATATCTACTTACTGGAGGGTATTCCATGGACACAACCTTTGGTTTTATTTGAAGTAATTAAACTACTATACATATTGGTAGTAGCCAGGGTTTTCAAACAGATCATATTCTACATACTGGTGGTAGCCAGAGTTTTCGAACATATCATATTCTACTCACCAGCTTTATGCTGATATGTTTTCAAAACCGCTTGTATTCTCAGGGCAACGATAGATAGGTACTTTCGCTAGCTTTTGGAGAAGATGGAGCATTTTGGAGTCTCGTCTTTATCTTTTGTTACTATTGATGTATACAAACTATTTTTTTCAAACAAATGTAAATATTCATACTGTAATGTAATGGTTGTATTTACTTTGATTGCTATGATACTACACATGACGTCGCCCGCCCCCGGATGTTTCCGACGTTATTTCTGATGGTTCGGGGGTGTGACAGATTGGTATCAGAGCTATTGTTTATAGTGAACTAACTATACCGAACCTTACATTGTATACAACTATAAACACTAAGGGGCCGAAGCGCTCTGAACAAAAAGTATACTTTTAAAATATAAGTATTTTTACAAAAAGTATACTAGTGTATATACCAGAAACAATATCATTAGTAGAATCAAAAACAAAAGTATTTGGATGTTGGACACTGTGGTTAAACCTGGTCAGTTATGTAATCATGTCTAGGGTCAATATAGCCTGATCAACTATATTCATTCGAGACATGACCAACATGTGGTTGGGAGTGACTATGGTGTTGCAACAAGCCTAAAACTTACCAAGAATTCCTACCACACCTGAACTGTTAGCTACAGTTAGGAGGGCACGCTTGGGGTGACAAATTTTGTAATCATACGACGCCTGAAGAAACGTCAAGGATGTTATCAGTCATATTAGCATGGTTATATGAACTCACAATAGTATCAACTAAACTTTGTTTATGGGATTTCTTTCTTCAATAATTTTATTTTAAATTAATAAAACTACCTATCTACTTACTGGAGGGTATTCCAGGGACACAAACTTTGGTTTTATTTTATGTAATTAAACTACTATACATATTGGTGGTAGCCAGGGTTTTCAAACATATCATATTCTACATACTGGTGGTAGCCAGGTTTTTCGAACATATCATATTCTACTCACCAGCTTTATGCTGATATGTTTTCAAAACCGCTTGTATTCTCAGGGCAACGATAGACAGGTACTTTCGCTAGCTTTTGGAGAAGACGAAGTATTTTAGAGTCTCGTCTTTATCTTTTGTTACTATTGATGTATACAAACTATGTTTTCAAACAAATGTAAATATTCATATTGTAATGTAATGGTTGTTGTCACTTTGATTGCTATGATACGTTTGTTGTGATACTACACATGACGTCGTCTGCCCCCGGACGTTTCCGCCATTATCTCTGACGGTTCGGGGGTGTGACAGATTGGTATCAGAGCTATTGTTTATAGTGAACTAAGTATATGGAACCTTACATGGTATACAACTATAAACACTAAGGGGCCGAAGCGCTCTGAACAAAAAGTATACTTTTAAAATATAAGTATTTTTACAAAAAGTATACTAGTGTATATACCAGAAACAATATCGTTAGTAGAACCAAAAACTAAAGTATTTGGATGTTGGACACTGCGGTTAAACCTGGGCAGTTATGTACTCATGTCTAGGGTCAGTATAGGCTGATCAACTATATTTATTCGAGACATGACCAACATGTGCTTGGGAGTGACTGTGGTGTTGCAGCAAGCCTATTACTTACCAAGAATTCCTACCACAAGATATCGATAGAACAAAGCATTCAACATAAAATACTATATGAGTATTTTAGTCAGAGCAGAATACATTGTGCAGATTCATTCCAGGTGTTTCTACTCATTCTTTCTTAGCAATAGTTTACTTGCTTAGGCAATCCTTCTTTGTTTATCGCTTAGTAGAACACTTTATCTATCAGATAGAGATATACCTTGTTTCATATCTCTTGATTCTAAAGTCAATGGGACTTATCATCTTCTTCTTCCTAATATAGAAGGTAGAGAGATACAAGAAGATAGAGAGATACATTTGGGGATTGACGCCCCCAATGCAAGGAAATGTATTGGCTGCCAGGCCAATCACTTTTGACAGCGTAAAATGCCTGGCTCAGACTCTCATAGATCACGTAGTCGATCTTGATAAACTAACAGCCGCTCCCGAACCAGCTAAGGGATGTGGTGAGAAGAGAAGGTTTTGGAAGCAACGAAAGGGAAGTCTTCATAGGAACCCTCCAAGAAGCAAAATGTGGTGACAGTTCACGCTGCTACTACTACTATCATTGCTCCTGCAACTCAAGCACCTACCAATCGATATATTGGTATCCTCCCTTGGTGCAACACATGCAACTTTCATCATCACATTTCAGGCCCATGCCGTGAAATGCTCTGCAACAACTGTTACAAGAAGGGGCACCTTGCTAGAAGTTGCGGACCACCGGTCCAACTGTAGCACTGTAAAATTTCAAACAAATTTTCACATTTTTTGTTTCTACCACCTGAAACTGAATCTAAGCACAATGTAATCTCATTAATAGCCCACCAATTCAGGAGAACCATATCTAACCATCCAAAAACATTTTTCCAAATACTCAACGCCAGCTTACACGAAACAAGAATATGATCCAAAACATCCATTGAGGAAGAATGCATCAGACACAACAAATGAATAAATCTTAATTTCTTTTTATCTCATATTCCATCTCGTTGGGATTTGATCAAGTAAAGAATGCCACACAAAAATATTGACCTTCCTAAGTACATACCGATTGCATCTAGTAGGTCTAAGAGTTACTTGGTCAATATGCTTTCTAGTATCAGCTAAAACACCCATTATCATTTATCCGCTTCACCTGAAAGAATTACA